ATCGGATGACGCTGGATTGCACGAAGGATATCACCAATTTTGCTGCGCCACAGCAAACCAAACGTGAAAGGGGATGAAAATAGAGTTCAAACACTGCGTTATACTTGCTTTGCAGTAAAATGTTCTGTATAAGTTTCGTAAAGTACTCGGACTCAGAGAGATTATATAGAAAACCTTTTTTTTCTGAATTTACTAAAAGCAGGTCTGATTGCACCACAGATCGTAACTTTGAGAGAAATCTTTGCTAGATGTACGGCTCGCTGGATCGCAAAATTCTAGATGGAAAACATTGAACAACCGTTGCTAATATAATGCTGAAAAAAACCTTAAAACTTAAGGTTGTAGCAACAATGTGTAGAGCCACATGTTCCAACAGGATGATTCCATCCGCATATAGGTAGACCATACCTTGGATACATACTAGAGATGAGTTTAATAGAGGATTTTTCCAGAAAAATAGACTAATTTTTATTTTTCCTCTAAACTAGTACTAAATTTTTAGCACCCTAACCCGTTGAGCTTTCTATCTACTGGAAACTAGTTTAGAGGAAAAGCTAGCAGTTGAGTTTACATCCGCACTTAATTTCACCAGAATAGAATATCTGCAAACCTCCTGATCGCATTTTGCAAACTACGACTTGTCTCTCTTTCCTTCAAATGTGATGACATGTGACAAGGATTGCGCAAACCACTAGTAAACATACCTTGAATACGAAACTCCGACTAATACCCTGGACATTAAGCTCGTGTAGCTGAACCATTCGGCCATAAGTGATGATTCCAACCAAAGCATCGGCAGGAAGAAGCGAAAGAGCCGTCTATATTACGACATGATTTCTCGCAACAAAATTGATGTGATTGGTCTTATCAAGGTGCACATCTGATGTACTCATTGGCCAGCAATCAAAGTTATCATTCTTTACCTGTAAGCTTTCCTTGAGGGCTTTCAATTCTTCAGAAGTTATGCAGGTGTCGACAACAAAGACAAAAATAGGTGGCATTGTAGTAGCCTTCTGCAAAAAGAAAACAGCTTAACAAAACACCTGAGCCTGAAGTTTTGAAGGAAAGAGAATAGATAGGTGATAATCCTTACTATGTTCTATCTAAATGACTCAAGAGGGACAAAAAGCCGCCTAAAATTTAGCAATAGAGTTTCACAATAAAAATCCAAATTGAATTTCCTTCACATAAGCAGTTCCCTGAAAGCTCTACCGAACAATGGACCAACGCGGCAAGGTACTCGCAGCATGCGCCGCTGTAGTGCGCACATATGAAACGTTGAGCTCTGATAGAGAATGCGCCGCACTCCTCCCTGCACCTGATAGAGCTTTCAGCGAGCAACTTACCTGCAGGATTAGTGTAACTTATGACAGCAAATAAGGCTTAGATTTTGCGCAAAATCGTATAATCATCTAGGACAAAATTCAATGAGGCACGGAGATCACAAGTGTTATGACACATCTGCATGCGTCTCTTTGGTCAGCCTTAGGCGATTGTTAGTTTGATTGGCCGGTGAAAGTGGACTGGACAACAAAGAGGCAAGGGCCTACACCACAGAATGTTATTATGTAAAATGCAGGCTTGATTTGAGCCCACAGAAGAGTAGGCAAAAGAAATTTGGAAAACAGAAAACAGAGCAGAAATAAGCATCCAAAACTATTACCTTCAGCGTATATTCAATTGTTGTGAATTGAGGATACAGTTCCGGAGGACGGTTGTCTTCAGCAATTGCTGCATAGTGAGCGGGAAATGGATTCCTTTGATTACAGAAGGGGCACACCCATGACTTTGCACGAAAGTCTACGAAACTAAAATGATTCCATATTTATATCTTCTTTAAGTTGATATCATGTGAAATTTATTTGAAATTGATGAACAAATTGTGTTTTTTTTTCAAAGGAAAAGAGGGTAGCGCGAGAGAAGTCCTAATAGAATAAATTGCCACGAGTCAAGCATAACAATTACAACTTTCTCGTTTCTTATACATGATGAAAAACCTGATATGTAATGATAACGACCTAATTTGTGACACTCACGGGAACTGCTTCAAAATGCTTACGAATTACTGGCGCAATCTCACTTTCTTCTTACTTTAGAAGTTTGCAAGTTGGTTGGATATCGACAATAGATAGTTTGAGACAGGATTTCCTACACGAAGTTTCTTAACAATTTTTTCAATCTACCAAAAGGATAGATGGAAAATTGGTACATTAAAAAAATACTAGAATCAACCAAGCATTTCCTGTCTCCAATAAATTGTATGATTTTTTGGGACACTTGAATAACTGGGTGATCTTGTTTGGACAAATGGGTAACAGCGAAAACAGAAGATAGAGAAAACTCACCACAGTGGGTTAAGAATAGCCTTACAACTAGCTTTTTGACATAGAACGGGATCGTACTCAAGTGGCGGTTGTTGCGGCTGGTCAGCAGGCCTTTCCTTAAAGAGATCTTGTTTACACCATTACAAATCATTTGAGTTCCCGGAGGTTTTAAACATATATTTTTTTCCGGTAAAGAAGATGATCAAAAAGAATAGAGCACACCTTCAGAGGAGTGAAGAAGCATGATACAGGTACGACAAGCCTTTGTGCATCTACTCTACTGTGAGGCCATAAATTCCATGTAAATTGTACTCCATCGATTGACTGCTGTGCCGTTAAATATTCCTCCCAAGTAG